CTCTCTCACACACACACACACACACACACACACACACACACAATCAGTTTTTGGTATGTTTGTTTTTCCGCTTCTCTCCTAATTTTTCTAAGTATTTTTGTATGCCCAACTGAGCACCCTTACGTAGTGCCAAACAGTTGGTGGTTCCTCGTTTGGAGTGCCTACTGCACTCTTATGGGGGCCACTCAGTTCAGGATGTCTTTGTTGCCTGTAGGTGATGACGGATGCTCGTCGGAGTGTCTCCCTGGCTCAGTGGGGGGTAGGAACCAACAGTCTGTGGGGTTCACCTGTGATGTGAGTAGGTGACGTGCTGCTTCGCTCCGTGTTGGATGTGTGGACGTCCTCGTCTGCACTCCGCCGCTGCCCTGCTGCCTGTCCCGCTTGCTTTGGATGTGGTTCTTTGCAGGTTGATGTGTTCGCTGTGCGGTGTGGCCGTGTTGTTGGTGTTGCCTTGCGCTTCGCTGCTGTGCTGCTCATCCGCTGGTCGTGCCTTCCGTGTTTACCGCTTGCGTGCCCTGTAGGTTGGTTGCCTTGTTGCTGGTGCCTTGTGCTCCGCTCCACGGTTTCCGAGCTGCTGGTCGGTAGGCCCTGTCGTTGCTTATGTTGTCTTATGCTTTGCTACACGGTTGACGCGCTGCATGCCCTGCGTACCATGTCGTTCCGTGCAGTCGTTTTTGGCATTGCGCAGCCGTGTGTTGCCTGGTGCCTCTACTGTGTTGCCTGGTGCTCCACAGGGTTGCTGCCCGCTGCTATGTTCCGCTTGGGGACAGTCTGCCTTCAACAAGGGTCAAACGGTTCATGACCCAAACCATCAAAAACGGAGATTCCACAGATTGTCGAGGGTTCAGCCTCCTGACGAGTCGGTGCAACTCCGACGAAACAATCTATCATCATCAGTTTTTATTTTATTTTATTTTTTTCAGTTTTCTTGGTTTTGGTACTTGCGTTGTCCGTTGGTTGTTGCCGTTTCCCTGCCTTATGTGCTGGTTTGTTGTCCGTCCTCCCGCCTCCCCAGTGCCCTCCAACCTATGTGTTGTCTTGATTTTTTTTGGTACTTGCCTTGTCCACTGGTCGTTGTCGTTTCCCTGCCTTATGTGCTTCTGTGTTGTCTGCCCTCCCGCCTCCCCCGTGCCCTCCAACCTATGTGTTGTCGCAAGTTTCTTGCTTCCCCCGTGTGCCCTCCAGTCTATGTGACCGGCTGTGCCTTGTTATCCAACAGTACATTGCCTCCCTGCCCCTCTGCTTTGTTGTCGTACCTTTGCCCCCACTTCTGTATTTGTTTGTGATGTACTATTGTGTGCGTACTGGGTCATAACGCAGCTGTATTTTAGGCAATTATGCTCCGGCATGTTTTTTCCCACCTTCCGCAGATGGATGCATCTGTCCCACGCCTACAAGTTACCACTATGCACACTAGACGTTTTGGCCACGCCCTGTCGAGTTTGCACGAATTGCGTTGTTGGTAGGGTACACTATGCCTGCTATGAGTAACCACGGTGTGCCGGCGCTTTTCAGCGTTGGAGAGTTTGCCTGGCATAACGTTCGTGCCAAGGCGTACCTGCGTGCACACACCCTCAAAACACACACACACACACACACACACACACACACTTGTAAAGTTACGAGGTGAACATGACAACATACACACAGACAAACAAGCGCACGAAACAGGTGTTGAGATGTGAAGTTGTTTTGCCTCAAGCAGAAGGGGCATGACACAACTTGATGCGGTTCTGTGGCAGCATTCGTTATCTGTTCTGTTTACAACGACGCCGTTGTTTCTCAATGAGTGAATCTTTGACATTGACGAGGCAGATATTCTACACATTCATTCATTGCTAGACTGTTCATGTGCAGATGCTCGATAGTCTGCTACCGGGTTGAATAACTTGAATTTGATAACCCTTGGGAGCTGCCTGTCCTAAGACCCATGCTTCGCATACGAAAACGGTCTAACTATACCTGCACTTGCAACCTAGGCTACCACGCCTGCATGGCCATGCATTCCCAGCCGGACACTCATCCACCTGCACAAGGTACCCCGGGCATGTAGGGAACTCCAGTACCTTGTTTTTTTTTTGGTTTTTTTTTTGCCGGTGAGGCTTTTCTGCACCCACCAAAAGCAGCCCAAATCCGAGCTCTTTTTTGTTCTTCAGTGTTGCACCGTTGAAAGGAGGGGGGGGGGGTAGAAGGGCTTAAAGGGGTGCATAAGTAGGTTTAGTATGATTTCTCTCTTTGCTTCTTTTTCATCTTCAATTCGGAGGTGACCCTCAGCCAAAAGTCGTTTGCAGTGCCATTCTAAACAACAGTCTTCTTTTCCAGATTTATTATTCATTTATTATCTGGACTACCAGCCAGGCGACCCGGTTCACCTTGTTTGACCGAGCGGCCCGACCGTGCAAGGACCAGGGAAGGGCCCAGCAAGAGGTGACCAAAAAAAAACACTCAAAAGCTAGGCTACCAGCCGGGCCGCCCGGGTCACCCTATTTTCGCGGGCGGGCCGGCCGTGCAAGGACCAGGGAAGGTCCCAGCCAAAAAAAAAAAAAAAAAAAAAAAAAAAAACCGAAAAAAAACTATGTTATGCAGAAAAATAAACTGAACAACGTTTGCCTCAGGGTCACATCGAAATTCTTTACCAAATTTAAAATAAACATTTAAATTAGAAAATAATTTTTATTTTTTTATTTCTTTTTGGGTGGGCCGGGCAAGTGGACCCGGGCCACTCTGGTAGCCTAGCTCAAAAGAATCTGGAAAAAAAAACTATGCGAATGCACAAAAACAAACTGAACATCTTCTGCCTCAGGGTCACATCAAAATTCTTTACCAGTTATAAAATAAAAATTAAAATTAAAATGTTTTCCAGTAAAAGGCTAAAAGCCCAAGTTGGGTATTGGCCCCAGTACTCCGGGTTGAGATGTGGAGGGATTCCCAGCCTCCTTTTGCTCATATACCGAAACCAAGCTATTCCAAAAAAAAAAAAAAAATTAAAATAGACACTTCAAACTTTTTTCTTTTTCTTTTTTCTTTTTTGGCCCGGCCGGGCAAGTGGCCCCAGAAGCCACTCTGGTAACCTTGTTTATTATTATTACTATTTTTATCATTTCGGGGCTGGGCTGCCCTGGGCACCTGCCTGGCGGGTCCTGCCCTGCTGGCAGCCAGACATGCGTCCGGTCACAAGCTTCGTGCCTGGGTGCACCGCTGAGAAGCAGCCCAGACTACAACTACATTAGCATCATAAGTTACGTAATGACATTCATTGCTCATCATAATGACATTCATTGCTCATCTTTTTTACACGGCGACACACTTCCAATCAGTTTCGAATACAGCTACATTGGCAATTAATTGCCTCGGCCATTTGTAGACGGCGCAGGCGATAACACTCTTGGAGGCAAAGAGAGTACAGTGCACCTGTCCCAACAAAAGCGGCAAGGAAATAGAACCCCGGTTCCACCCCTCTGGACATCCATTACAAGTGGAACCGTACAGACGAAGATTGGCGTGGTCCCTGCACAACGATGCCACGCATAAATTGAGAGATGGTCCCAAAAAAAAAAAAAAAAAAAAAAAAAAAGGATCCCAAGTCCCTCACCTCTCACCTCCAAGGGGTACACAACAGCCTGACCTGTTGCGCCTGCCATTGCACCTGCAAGAAACCTCTGCCACTCAGGCGGCAAGTCCTTGCTTCTTCTCGCCAACATTTGCTTGAAGAAATCGAATGCGAAGAAATCTATAGCCTTGGACGGAGCGCTCTTCAGCACATTCGTGAGGTTACCTGTTCAAATTCAAATGCGGCAATCGTAAGATGTAGACAGAAAAAAAAAAAAAAAAAAAAAAAAAAAAAAAAATAGAAAAAAAAAAAAAAAAAAAAAAAAAAAAAAAAAAAAAAAAAAAGCGGTAGACACAGACGTCTCAGAGACAGACGAGTCGAGCCTGCTATCCTGCAGTCCACCAGAGCCCACCCACCATCCCACCAAAAACACAGAAAAAGTGCAGGATGTAGGACTGTGAAATAATTTCAAATAACCCTAAACCAGAGAGTGACCCACAGTCCATGTGGCTGAATGGTGCAGAGTCTACAGACATGGAACTATGGAACTGTTAGTAAACAGATCATAAGCTCAAGTCCTGATGGAATCAGACAAATATAATAACTCGAGGGGGGGCATCCTGTAAAACGACACCCAACCAATTTCAGACTGCACGCCTTCCTTGTCCTTCAGGACATCCATCAAAATTGGAACGATACAGAGAGGATCAGCATGGCTCCTGCGCAAATGGTCCAAATCAAAACAGAAAAGAGACTGTATGCCTACCACTTGGACAGACAAGAATAGCAGGTTAGGCAAGTCATGTCGCCTGTTTGTCCCGCGCTTCTGAATTACCAGAGCCCGCCTACTGCTTACGTATACGTTCCGGCAGGAAACTTCTCCTCTATGAGCTCTGCTTGAGAGACTCATGCACTTGTGCTGGCTTGCACCTGCTGGTGCTGGGCTATGATCGGGAACGGAGTAGCGCTACCGTCTTCACCCAAATAGAACACCTGGTCATTATAGCTGCATTTGGTGTAGTCTAAATACAGCTATAATGACCGGGCATTCTATTTGCGTGAAGGCGGTAGCCCTACAGGGGAAGGAAGTTAGTAGGCGTGCCTGTTACATGGCACCTCCCTATTCCACCATAGCTGGAGGCTATGGTGTGGTGGAATAGGCAGCTACGGTGGAATAGGAAGAGGCGAGAAAGATCTGGACACTGTTCGTGACGCAGTTTCTCGAGTGTAGCACTACCGCCTTCACCCGAATAGAACACCCGGTCATTATAGCTGTATTTGGTGTAAATTTCAATCTAAATACAGCTATGTTACGATCCTGGCGAATTTCAAAGTGCAAAATTCACGAGAAAGCACCATGTCGTCCAATTGCAAAAGAAATGAATGAACTTGAGAGGAGGGGGAGATAAAGAAGAAGAAGAAAAAGATCTCAATGGTGTGCTTAATAGCACGCTCAGTTACTCCCGTTGATTCAAACTGCAAGTCCTTATATTCATCGAGTAGTTTTTCCATAGGAGGAGGACAGAACGAAGAGCACTCACCCACATTCTTGACGAGTACACCATCATTACATCCTGTACCAACTTCTTTTTCGTGACCATGCTTCGAAAAGCAGGAAGACTCATACAACAGAACGACAATGATGAGTCAGAACCAAACTTCTGAAACAACTTAATTGATTTCATTTTGGATTTTTCATCCTTTAATTTGACAATTTCATCTTTAAAGTTGACTTCCGGGTCGGCTTCCTCATGACGATCCATACCCAGAATCAAGTCAAATGGTAAGTTTTTCTCAACTAGGAAGGCTACCTAGTGCAATATCCGCTTACCTTCCTTCGTACGAAAGTAACACTTTACTTTCACACGATCGACATACTGAGAGAGAGTAATAGTGCTTTGGTCAGCTAGCATAGATGTGACAGGTCTTGGTAGGTCATGCACTCACATCCCTAGGTGCAATTCGCAAATTGCCATTTCGAAGTTGTAGGACCATGTAGACCTAGGATCCAACAAAGCACCATCTCGTGCTCGCGCAATCTCAAGATCTGCGATGATTAGTTCACCCTCACTTTTCGCTTTCTTAGCCCATGAATTTCGCAAGGCAATCAATTCACATCTAGGTTCATCAAGAGAATCACCGAGAGAGACAAAACACAACTTTCTCAAGGTGGTATGGGTGATCGGCCGAAGAAGAGTCGTCCTCTGCCATGCGAGCTGGAGGGTTGCAAGGGGTTCGTTGCGCCAACTTACCTACACCCTCCTGCTCAGTAGGAGCAGATGCTACCCCTATTGGCTGCTTTATTTTGGGTTCCGGAGGAGAGAGCACCATGCAATGATGTGCCCCTCAGTGCCACACTTCAGGCACTGACAATTATCCATCCTTTCCTACCATTCCTTTTCGGTAAGGCCCATTTTTTCCCAAGGCCTGCCAGAAGCATTGCCAGGATGTACGGGAAAGGAGCATGGCCTCTTCTTCCTGAATCCTCCTCCGTGTTGGTGCCTCCCTTGTTGGCCACCATGAGGAGAGTCCCACGTGAATCAATAGTTCCCTCCTCTTGCCCACTTCCTCCTCGGGTATCTCCCACTATCGCCAACTCAGCGAACCAGTACTACTCTGACGATTTCTGACATGTACTTGTGCAGGTCACATCAATGCGTCCATCCTCAGTCCACGTCAGCAACAGGTAACAAGGATGGTGCAGGTCCTCTGCAACAGGTAACAAGGATGGCGCAGGTCCTCTTGAAGACGAGCAGCAGATCACCCCCCACCTAAGAGGTAAGTCCAGGTAAGCCTCTCCTCATCACACACGCCAACTCCACAGTCCAGATCCTCCTCCTCCTCGCCTCCTCTCCTATCAAGAACAACTCCACGCGGCTATAGCCGCAGCAGCAGCATCTCCCTCCTGGCTGGCGCCCAAACTCAGACGATCACGCCAGCATAAAGCTCTCATAGCCTTGTGTCGTCGAGCCAGGGCCAAGCCAGTGCAAGGCGGAATGATCTCCAGCAGGGCCTGGGTCAACTTTATAATGTTGACTCGCATTGACCAGCCTCCGGTCTCCTGGGGTCGACCGTCGAGATGAATCAGCAGCCGATGGGCTGGATGCAGTGCAGTCTCAATTCCATTTGCGTCCCAGTCGGACTGGCATCCTCTGGATACCTGCAGACAACCAAAGATGTGCATCTGATCGACGGCTGTGGCTGACCAGCGGGTTGACTTTGACCCCTGGGCCTGGAATCCCGTACTTGGGTTGACTGTTGACTTTCCCAAGGTCAACTGTCGCCCATGGGGCCTCTGAAGGCCGGTTCTGACTTGGCCTGGGGGTACCCCTTGAGCCTTAGGCCTTTCCCGGACTCATCTCAGACTTGGGCGTGACTTTTGCCCCCTTAGGCCTTTCCCGGACTCATCTCAGACTTGGGCCAGTGGTTGTCCTCTTCTCCCTCTCTGCCGACTGTTTACCCTGCAGTTCTGTTTGACGATATATATATATGAACCGACAGTCTGTAGAGTTTTCCATCTGGTGTGCGTGAGTGATAGTCTGCTTTGATTTTCGTCACGGGTACCTTGAGGGCAGTGGTTGGTGCCCACCTCAGGGTATCAGTTGTCGGGCAGTCGCTGATGCTTAACCACAGCCGGGGTTAAGGTGGATTATCACTTACAGTGTAATCAGTTAGGGGATTCTGCAGACTGTTGAGGGTTCAGCCTCCTGATGAGTCGGTGAAACTCCGGCGAAACAGTTTGCCACAGCCCCTCGTTTGTTGTCCTCTTCTCTCTCTCT